ATCTAGCCTTCATTTTCCTCTGAGATTGCGGTCCGACAGGACCAACAGAATTGTATACTAAAAGTGAGCCTTTAGGGAATTTGAATTCCAATTCTGTCATTATTCTAGAGCCATTACAATGTGCAATCGACATTTACACCATCATAATAAGTTAAAGCCAAAAATACGTTAAAATGCTTTAGGACTGAGTTCATATATAAATCTGAAGACGTTGAAACTATTTTTTGAAAATATTTGCTGGTTAATGTATAACAGTAAATAGTTTAATTATTGACCCTATGAGGTGTGGCATAGCTTTTATTATAATAGGGCATGTCAATGTAAAAAATGATCTCTCTCTTTGTTTCATGCTCTGTTCAGTGCAATGTAAAGAGACCTGAGTACAGAGTGTTAGAAAAGTCCTGAGTTGGTTCTCCTCAAGCTCTTGTGCTCCTGGAGTCTGTGTAGGATACAGGAAGGACCTTTGTAAGGCCTCCTAAAAAGTCAGAGGGCCTCAATTGTGTTCCACGAACACATGGCCTATGTTTGTGCATGTGTCTGTGAGGTTTATTGATTTCAATCCAAGATTACATTTTGACAACATCTGAATTCTTCAACATCAGTATTTGAGCCAAGGAGGGTGTAGCATCTGTTTATGTTTTTCATTATGATCTTGATGAACGTTTCTGGAGTTCAGAAATATGAAAAAGCTAATAAGGTTGACGGTGGCTCTCTCTGCTCCTCACCTTTATCTGGTTTCCTCTTGGATCAAGACTCCTAACCCTCCTTTTATCTCAAGTGATGATTTACAAACACCAGTTTGTGTCTACAGACCAGGGTTCGGTTGTTGTCTGCCAGTCTGACTGGCCAGCTGGTACAAATTAAGACCATGTGTGTAACTGCGTGTGATTGTGTATGCATGTGTGTGTGTTTTGCTGTAGTGTTGCTATTACTGTTTAATAAGGAAGGCGAGAAGTTGTTTTGTTTCAATAGATGGAACATTTGACTTAAATAGCTGGAAGAGTGTTAGGTCCTTGTTATGAATCAGAACAAGGGAGACATGTGTTTAGAATGAGCCGTGGTAGGAGATACCCAGCACTCCAGATGGTTTGTTACGCAGAACCATCTGAGGGGCGGTCATTGGAAACTGTTTGGAAATGGACAGGCACTTTAAAAAAATACTTGGCATGTGATTGGATGAACCACTTGTCAATCAAACTCCTACCTACCAAAGCATGTAAGACAAACAAAAAGATTGAGAAAAGCCTTCAGTCCAAGTTCCTTGCTCTTCTTTAAACAAATACATACTCTCCAGACCTTTTTTATTGGGCCTGATACTATTGCAACTAATCAATAAGAACCACCATTGTTCTTCCCTTACTTTTCAAAGTGAGAGACTTCTTTTGTCTTCTTTTGTTTTGTCTTATGTTAAGTTTAAGTTGTAATCAAGCAATCCCTTTGGAGGTCTGTTGACAGTTGGTTTATTGTGTAAGCATATTATTGAAGGAGGGCCAAATAAAAGGACATGTCTTACTTTAGATTTTTAGGTCTTTATTTAATTTGCTTAATTTGCTTTTCCTTTACCTGTATAATCCATAGGAGCTCAGAACCTGATTGGGTGTCAATGTATTACTTTTTGGTTTTAGGGTTTATCTCTGGGTGTTCTGTAGGACCTCGGCCGTGCTTATCTGTTTGTGGTGTCGAGAACGTGTTTCAAAGCTTTTGAAATCCTATTGAAACACAAAGATAATATCCATTGCCATGAATATGATGGTGTTATATCACAGTGCTTTTGTTATTGCCTTAATTTTCTCTGTATAGTGATAATGGTAGCCGTTTGCCATTAACAAATTACAGTTATCAGGTTCTGTTTATTTCATCTGCGACCCTAGCGGTGGTGGCGAAGTCGATAGGGACTTGGCTTGGCAACTGGAAGGTCACCAGTTGAAGTCCCGGCAAGACCAAGTGCTACCGAGGTGTCCCTGAGCAAGGCACCGTTCCCCACACTGCTCCCCGGGCGCCGTTCAAAATGGCAGCACACTGCTCCTAACACTAGGATGGGTCAAATGCAGAGAAACAATTTCCCCACGAGGGATTAATAAAAGTCCATCTTATCAGTGCTTTACATACTTCTGGGCTTCATACCTCTTTCCTCAGCACTGTGCTTTTTACCATCCTTGGGACTTACCATTGAGAAAACATTTATTACAGTTCTTATCATACCTGATCACAGTAGAAATAAAGGACATTTACATTCGGAATTCTGTTTTCAACCACGGGAGAGCTGGCTCTTTTCTAGTTTCCAGAACTGACTGAATGTGTAACAGGATTTTACACTGCTTGTCACATTAAACATTTAGATGAAACTTACTTTGCTAATATTTTACATATTTAATATTAAATGTGTAATGATGTTCTGTAATTTAAAGGTATTAAATCCTAAATAAGCTTGTTATTGTTTCAGGTTTAGTGAAATACTGTGCAAAGGATTCTAATTTGTAGCTCTTCTGGCAAAGAAGGGTTTGGTTCATTTAACCATAAGTCCATAAGCTAATTTACAGTGACATCTTCGTTCTAATATCTAACACAAAACAAAATCCTATTGTATGTTTGTTTGAACACACAATACATATGACCTGATCTAGCATGCTGGTTTGTTCTTGAAAAAAGTTGGATTAGAAGACATTGACGCATTTAGGAGGATACACTTTGCTGAAGTCCTTTTAAGATTTTGAAATATTATTGAAAATAAAATGTAAAATATCATCTCCAAGGCCTCGGGCCTTTGGAGGTTGCATGTTCTTCCCGTCCTTGCTTTGGTTTTAACATGGTATTCTAATTTCCTCCTTAAGCCCTAGGCTTGTGGGTTAGCTTAATTGGCAACACGCTTAGGTGTAAAGGTGAGTGAAAAATAATGGTGTGACATGTCCAGAGTGTACTCAGGCTTTCACCCAATGTGTGCTGCACTATTCCATTTTGACCCTGAAAATGGTATTGATGAATGGTTATGTAGTAAATGGATAACATCTGAATGTGTGGAACCAAAGTAACCTTGCTTGGTTAAGTGCTGGATGGGTGTTAACGGGAATTACCATCACCACCCTCAGCCCCTCTTTTTAATGACTTAATCAAATCAATGACAAATCTATTTAGAGTGCTTTGACTCTCGCCATTGCATGGGGAAGAGGTTGGAGGAAGTGTAATGAGCCATTGGAGACTGGTGAATTGCCTCCTACTGGTGTGATACTTTACGGGGGTGTTTGCTTAAGTGCAGGGGCTTTGGAAAGCCAAGCAGTGTTTGTCTGTCTTGAACAGGGGGTTGTTAGAAAAACACACCAGAAGATGATGGGGAAAGGATGAGGGGAGGATGGGTGTTGGAAGCTTTAGCAATAGTGCCACCTGTGTGTACATGAATAAGTCATCAGTTTGCACATGGAAAGGGTTTTGTCACCTTCTGCCATAAAAAAGGTAGCCATGGAAACCAGCTCTTTTTGACACCAAATCATCAGCATTTTAAGGCCCCTTTTAATCATATTGGTTAGTCTGTGCTGACTCAAGTCAGAGTTAGGCTAGAAAACAATGTTGACTAAAAATAAACCTTAAAGTGAGTTACTGTGTACTGCTTCATACACATTTAGCAAATAACTTTGTTTTTCTGGTGAATACAAAATGGAAACACAGCTGCCCTCAAGTTGGGATAAAATCCCATGGCAACTGATCTCAGGTGTTTGTCACCTGCATTTTTCATTTCTGCTACTTCAGCTTTGAGCAGAAAGGTCACGTCAACAGATCCAGGGGATCCAGATATAGACAGATAGCTGGTCTGGCCAGTTTTCCACGGTGGCAGGATTTTACAGTAGCCTCTCTAGCAAAACTCTCATGTTACCGGTGTCTTATTTCACTAGCTCAGGGCAGCGGGCGAAACTCACCGTCCTTGGGTATGTGCCCTCTCTCCCCTTTCTCTGTGTTGCTTAACTGTTTGTTTTTTTAAACCAGTGTCCATTTATATTTTTCCATTTTTCTTGACATTCTCCCCCTATCTTTCTGAAAATCATACAAATGTAATGAAGTGAGGTCACAAATCATATAAGGGGATCACTTTTGTCTACTGTATGTCAACAAAGCCACAGTAATGAGGTTACTTTTCCATCATACAGTATAATTTATAATGACTGGACACACAGACTGCTTTTTAAGGTTGCAGTGTTGAGTAAATGTTGCTGATCCTAATTTCTACAATGTAAATATCGGGACAAATTCAAACGGATTTGTCAAAACCTAAAGATTTTACCTTCTGAGTAAATGCAGTACTGCTGAGCGATCCAGGTGACAAATTAAGGTGCTGAGTTGAATCATTCAAACTCTCTGAGGGCTTCTAGTGGGCAGGTGTGGCATTACAGGGTTTTATAAGCCAGTATTAGGTGAGTACACAAAAACAAGAGACACTAGTACGAGTGAGAATCAAAGTCAAGAAGTAGGGGGGGATACGGGCTGCTCGGCACATGATGGGTTGCCGGGTTTGTTGACAAGACACAAACAAACAGTACTGCACAGAATGCGTGTCAGCTGGTCAGGCCAAACAGCTGACTGACAGCTGTAGGAAAACAGGGGTCACAGCATTTAAGGCCAAGACAATTATCACACTTGTATATAGGTAAATGGAAAAAATCTCTTGGTTATATATATAGCCAGTGCTCTTTATTTGTTTTTATTTTAGCATGTTATCTTCTGAGCATGCTACTTTAAATATTTTTCTTAAATGTTGAGGTGTGGTACTGTATATTATGGTTATAAACACAGTAGGCAGTTTAACGATGATAACTGTCAACAGCTTTCTATAGAAATGTTGTAAGTTGAAAAAAATATTCTAAATGTCCTTTTTTTCCACATTTAAATCTGCTTCTTAATGGTTATTGATTTAAACAAATGTGAGCCTACAAGTGCGAAACAAAACATGTTTGAGTAAGATAAAAGGCATACAAAATGACTTAATTCCCTTTTCCATTCTTATGTGTCCCTAGACATGTCAGTCCAAAGTGTTTGACCTATCAGACGGAGTGTCCCAGTATGCGTGGTTCCCCTGTCGCGAGGCTCATAATACTCAATATGGATATCAGAACTATTTGCTCAAGGTAAGGTCTAACTAAATAGAATGATGTGTTTTTGTGCAGTGAATATTGAACATACATAGGCTGGTAATAATGGATTTAAATATCACTCGACAATAAATGTGCACAATGTTTTCTACACAAAAAAATGGATGTATTAGTGGTTTCCATGATTAATGATGTTCCACATTTCTGGTCAGGATGATTAATTCAATAGAAAGCCATATATTACTGGAAATTCATAGTTATTTATATTAAAAGGTATGTCAATCTACAATATTGATCACAAAATTATTCTAATATACACTGAAAAAACAAAAACTTTGGATTTGATTAAATGTATTATAATATATGTATTGTATTAATATGTATATATATATATATATAATATATAAAGCAATAATATTAAGTTCAACCGACTTTATTAGTATTGCTTTCAATTTACCTAATACATTTATGTGAGATCTGTTAATCTCATAATACATAATACATTTAATAAATCAAACGTTTCAGTTTTTTCAAGGTAAAAATATAATTAAAATTATGTTGGGACACCATGATATGTATTATATCTCCATGGCATCGTAGAATAGAATAATGTACTAATTTGACAGCATATATGATGCATGAAACATGAGTCAATAACAAAAAGAAAAGTATAAAACATCTAGGAGGATACAGAAAACAGTTGTTGAAAATGTGTGCTTAACTTTATACTTTGTTTTCTTTCATTCAGGCCCACTTCTCTCATCCCATGGTGGCAGCAGCAGTGATTATACATCTGGCTGCAGATGGCACTGGCTACCTTGATCAGACTCAGTGTAACATCACTGTTCAGCTGGTAGACACCAAGGATGGTATCCATAGTCTGGGTGAGAGCTGTCTTCTGTATTTTGAGTGTGCTACCAATTTGCTTCACCTTCAGCGTCAGATTGCTAATTTTGCTTAAATTAGCTTGACCTACAGTACTGTTACTTACTAAAAAGTTGTTACCAAATAAATTCAAGCTAAAATCTATTAGAAAAAAACTCCCTTAAGCACATGTCACTCTCATTAGTCTTTCGAGCTAGGGTTAGGGCTCCCCTCGTTTAGCCTTTTCTTCTATCCTGCTTTACTTTTGAAGATTGCCACTATAATTCCTTTTAAACTGTGATTGATCCCCTAATTTCCTCACCTCAATCTCAATACACTTTTCTCTCTGTCTCTTTTCAACCCCAAATATCTTCTCCACAGGTGATTGGCGTCTGAGCTGCCGCACCAACCCTTTGGTGATCCCGGTGAGCCATGACCTGTCAGTGGCCTTTTACCACACCAAGGCTATCCTGGTCATGTTTGCCTCTCGCCTTGTTGCCATCTCCGGAGTTGGCCTCCGCTCTTTCCAGTCCTTCGATCCCATCACGATAAGCGGTTGCCAGAGCAATGAGATCTACAACCCGACAGGCCAGAGGTGAGGCTGAGAAAAAGGGAAATAGAACACTAGTGAACATAAGGCCTACACTTGTTACACACACATCACAACAAAAGACATGCTTATGAAATCATAGGGTTATGTGCACACGTCTACAAGGGCAAGCAGCCACACCCGGACACACGCTTACACTACCTTCGCCTTCCAACGCCAATAAAGAAAACTCCCCCAAAAATAGAAGAGTAATAGAGAAGGGATAGCTCTTTAAGGATAGTCAGACATCTATTAGGTGCTGTACACACAGAGTGGACAGAAGTGGAAGTAGTAGAATTACAATATTGAGAACCAAATAAGTATCAGGTTTAATTAGTAAAATACTTCCAGTCTTTCAGGCAAGCAACTTCCAGATAGTAAGACCTCGACCAACAAATGTCTTCTCTACTGCGAAGAGGAGGACATACTACATATGCTCACCCAACGAGATTCAAGGATTCCATTCACACAAAATGAAAGGAGGCAAGAGATGCTGAGAGCTGTGTGTTTTTGTGCCAGGGAGAGGGAGAGGCATGCTTTAATTGATTATACCAACAAGCTGTTTAATGTTAGAGGTCAGCCCAAAGCCACAACTATAACAGTAAAATGTTCTCGGTAACAAATATTATATCACTGGAAAATTGCAATTAATTTAGACCTGTTGCTGATCTCCGCAAATGTCCAACAATAGAGCTGCCATGTCGCTGCCTCCAGCGCTAAATCTTGTTTACCACCCCGGTTTGTTTGTATTGAGTTTGGCTGAAGTGCATTCTGCATACAAATAGTCCTTTTCTTTGAAAATTCCTGCCAAACTGGACATGTTTTTCCTGTAATCACTTTTGCCTTGTTCAGCACTACAATGAGGCTGTCAGTCTCCATTTTCCCTACTCTAAATAGTTACATAAAAAAATGACTTGTCAATCAGGCATCAAAAGTGCTTACCTAAAGGTAGACCAGGTTCTCTGTGTGTGATACAACTATTCAAGACAGCTAGCATTTAAACAAGGGAATAAATAAGGATGATATAATTTATATTAAGAGCCCTTAACAGTTATTGAAACCATTTGCAAGAGCTGTTGGCGAGACCATGACACATAATTAACACCTTTTCAGCGAAGAAAATGCACATGTTTTGAGTCTCCTTTAATTTAAACTACTGAAAATATGATGTAATTCATTCCTCACAAACGTAGTTAAACCAGACCACACACACAAGGAGTCACAATTTGCCAATTTCCACACCACTGTCATGCATGACACAATTCATATTGATGATGCTCCCAACCCTTTCAACAAGAAATGCACTAATAAACACCACAATACACAAAGAATGGATGGTAGGAGGTCTGTGCAGAGAGATAGAGCTGTTTTTTGCTTTTGTTGTTTGCCAGTGAGACATCCAAGAGCACCTAAATAGAATTAAAACTGCTGTGTATCTGCACCAGCCAGGAAATCATTGTTACCACACACACACAGATTACTCCGAGTACTCTATCTTTTTTCTTTTTCATTAAAATGTTCTCCACTTCATCTAATTTCCAGAGACTTGTGGAAACAAGTGTTACTTCATGATTGCAAGTCAACAAGATATGCCCACTTATCTTCAAAAGTTTGGACTTGAACTCGCCACAAGCTGAAAATGATTATTCAGTATTATGATCAGGTATTATTTACCCAAATCGCCTTACAACATAAGTAAAGAATCCTGGATCGTCCTCTTTGTCTATTTCATTTTTCAGTTTCTTCTCCTTTATTGTCTTAAGTTTAACTTAAAAACATTCAGATTGTACCTTTCTCCAATTCCCCGTTATTCCCATTCCCTCTCCCGCTTTCCCGATCTCCCCCTTTCTCCTCTTCCTAATATGTTATCCCATGTTGCCTTCTCATTCTTTACTTTCATTTCATCTTTGGTTTCCTCTAAATGTTTGCCATCCCTTTCTCCTTCATTCTACCCTTTTTGTGCCTCCTGCTCTAGCTTTCACTCTCTAATTTTTCAGGGCTGAGCAGAACATTTCCCGTAATACTTATGCCTCTACAAAACACCACATCCCTTTTTCCCTGAGTTGTTAACAACAGGAGCTATTAACATGACTCAGTTTTATGTTCCATGCTTGTCTTTTTCGCAATTTTTTCATCACGTATCACCTCTTACTACATGGAGAATTGTTGGAGTTCTAAGTTGTTTTTCTTATTTTTGTCATAAATACCTTACTATTTTTGCTGTATGCTGTACTTCTCATTCACAGGGGAGGAGGATAGTTTTACAGGTAGTTAATTGTAATTTACTGTATGCCAGAAATTCCGAAGTGACTAGCACGAAACCACAAAGAGATTTTGTTCCAAACCAAAGTGGCCACAAAGGAGGCTTAGGCTTCCCTAGTTTGTCCTCAAAAAGCCTAGAAGTAAGGAACTGCTACTATTGTGGTATACAAACGGTCTTCACCTGTTGAACTAGCATGTTGTCAACATGAACATTTGAAATCTAATCTTAGAATTTCTCTGGGAGCTTTGGTTATATTGCTTTCCTTTAAGGCAAAGTTCAAAGCAACATAAGCAATAATCTAGCTGCATAAAATGTTTGTATACTTCATTGTTTTAGCCAAAAGCATAGTTAAGTGAAATATTGCACAAAATCAAATGGCGAAAAAAAGCCACAGTAAATGGAGATTCCATTCTTGCAGAAGCTCGTTTAACAATGTTTCTCCTGACCTGTATTTTCTTTCATCCTCTCTGTGCCCCATACCTTTCCCTTTTTCTTTCTCCCCTCTTTCTTCATCAGCTTCATAAGGGAACCCTATACTGTAGAATTTGGACTGTTTAAAAAAGGTGCCTTGGGCCTCCAAGCCTTCCAAGAGCATGAAATGCCTTCTCCATAAAGCTGTGGCCAAACTCTGCAATTGTAACCCGCGCATAATCTATCCTGTCGCTCTTAATTCACAAACTACACTTTGCCGTGTGTGTGCGCATACACCCTTTCATGCGCATAGCATAATATGGCAATCTTTTCTCCATGTGGTTTATTGATTTGATATGTTAAACAGTCATTGATGGATGGATGTGGTTGACTCAATGCTTGTCTGTGTGCAAGCAAATGTGTGACTGATTCCATGTTTGAGTGTGTGCAGTGTTATTTTATACACAAAATGTATGTCGGTTGTAACTTTAAATGTGGTTTTTAGTTTATTTTGCTCTCTCTCTCGCTCTTCCTCTCTCACTTTCTCTCTCGCAGTTGTGTACATTATTCGTGCGAAGCCATTGACTGCCAGGAACCCTTAATCCGCAATGCAGAGCTCAAGTGCAGTAGCCCTGGCCGCCACTTCTACAATGGAGACCGCTGCACCATCTACTGCAACTCTGGATACGTCCTGCAAGTCCACCAGGACGATGACATCATCAAGAGCCAGGTAAACACCCTGCTACACACATCTTTGAACACACACAGCAGTCAGAGAGCTCCGTGCACAAAGAGCCACATGAGTGCTTAAATGTACACATGCAAACGCTTAAGTGCAAAACCATTTCTACAGTATACGAGAACATGCGTGCAAACATGCATCTGTGAATGCACACATGAACATGCATTGATGCAAACTCAAGTAGACCTATGGCCATAGGAGAGAAGTGCAAACACGCTTTCTTTCGGCTCTGCTCTTAATCTCTGCATTTATTTTGTACTTGCAAAAACTAAGCTCGGCACGGCAAGCCTCCAGGGAGGATGACATCATGAACATCCAGGTAGATGAGTGCTGCACCGAGGAGTGGAGACGCCCCAGTCTCCTCCTCTTGCTGGCTTGCTACACACGCGCACACACACGCACACGCACACACGCACACGCACACACACGCACACACACCACCCATATTCCGTACAAGCAAAGACATAATAGTGTTTAGTCTCTTGCTGAGCATGCTGCACCATCACCTCAAACAGTCACTTTTTACCGCTACTCCACCGGGACGATGACATCATCGCATAGTGTCTGCTCCCTCTCCCTCCCTCTCTCCATCCCTGCTCATTTTGCACACATTGAAGTCTCTGTTATAGGGCAGATATTTGCTACTTCTCTCTCACAGCAGCACACAGTAAATGCTTTCATGTCGATACCAACACACATACAGAGACAATCTCCTGCACAAACAGGACACAGATGCGGATAGATACAATATACACACAGATGCGTGCACACCACAAGTAAACAAACAAACAGGGGAGTTGACACCGCATCGTAAACCTTTTGGATAGAGGCCAAGCTGCTGTTAAGGCCATATAAACTCTTTATCCTTCTCCACGGCTCTGTAAAGAAGTCTGCAAGACATTCTATTAATGCTCCCTCAGAGAGATGGGAGGTTCAGAGAACAAGGAAAATGTTGTTTTTATATGTATTTCAGTCTGGGACTGTGGAGATGTGTTTGTAAGTCAGAGAGAAGAGTTTTACAGAGCAAAAGAGAGGGGGGAGCTTTTTTTTGGTATTTGGTCAGGATTCTTACCTTAACGATGTGTTCTTTCTCTCATCTTTCACTTGGCTGTGTCCAGGAACTGTAACATGTCCTAATTGGAGGGTTTCAAAAACCGCTGAAGTCGTTTATCTGTCGCTCTGTCTTCCACTGAAATGGCTCTTTTAAGCAACATACACATTGCTGTATCTTCACAAATAAATAAGTGTGTGCGCATGTACATGCACGGAAGCACTTTCACATCCACATTCGTACATGCGGAACTATTATTAAAGTGTGTGTACATACTGTACACACACTTTAATAATAGTTCCCCACTGAGTGTGCACAAACTTCTAATTGCATCAGATTTGGATTGACATTGCACTATTGTGGCTATTCATCAACGTCATTTCATTTACTTATAAATGATGCTTTTCAGAGAGGGAGAGGCAGGAAAGTACAGAGAGAGGTAGGAAGGGCAGGAGAGAATAGTAAACAAAGTAAAGCTGTGCCAAATATCAAAAGTTGGTGTTTGCAAATGACCAAATGATGACTGACTGTTCAAAGGTATTGAGAGGACAAAGCATTTATGAATGAACTGTTTGCATCCATTCATTACATTAAAAGGCATCTTGTCAGTTTTCTTGGTATAATATCAAAGGCAGTTTTGTGATTCATTAATGTTCTGCCAAAAATCACTAAATCATCTCCTTAGCTCTGGAATAATGTTAAGCTCAGCGATGTAATGTCAGTAAGGACAAGTAAATCACTGCTCTCAGTTGGCAAGCCACTGGCAAATAAATATGACGCTACGAACTTGATGTGCAGACTGAATAATGTTTATAATTACCATAACAAAATCCACTCCTTTTTTAACCTGCCCTGTCCATCATAGCATGAGTGCTTTGCATTACTAGCTTGTTGATCCATTTTATGTCCAGCCTTTTATCCTGAAACAACATTTTGGGAAATTATTTTAACAGTTGCATGTCCCTCCAGGGGCAGTAGCACTCCCCTCCTAAAAGTCTTTGTACTGTAAGATCGCAGAAACAGCCTCACTGAGCACCTTGTATCATACACTTAAGTTCTGTTCACTGCAAACCTTCATTTTGAATATCTACTATTACTTTTATTGTTTTCTGTGTAGAATGCAACATTTTGAAGCAGGTTTTATTGCCAGCAGTATAACCCAGTTGGGTAATACCGTATGAACTGTACAACTGCAAGACAGAATCGGGCAATTAGTACATTCAAGATTTGAAAGAAATAGTGGGCACTTCCATTTAAGATGATATAAAGAAAATGTGCTTCCTGTCGAAAAGTCATTATAATTAGTTGAAGCCAGTAGTCAATCGATCTGTCCAGATTCTCAGGGTACATCTCAACTCTTGAGCACATGAGATGATAGTTGATAACCCCATGTAACACCAAATGTAATACAGAAACAGTCATACCACCATTTTCTTCCCTTCTTTTTAAAACACACAAGTACTTACTGTAGACGCACGCACATATGCACGCACATATGCATGCACGCACATATACACACGCACACACACACGCACACACACACACACACACACACACACACACACACACACACACACACACACATACACACACACACACACACACACACACACACACACACACACACACACACACACACACACACACACACACACACACACACACACACACACACACACACACACACACACACCAGGGTTGAAAAGTGCAGCGTGAAGCACAATCTTGTCTCCTTTCATTAGCCAATTACATTCTTGTTTCAGTGATGTCAAAGCGGTTCTGGGAATACCACCTTCTTAGATAATGTTATCTTCAGAACAAATCTGTTTCGCTCACTTGCTTGATTTGTATATGTTTGTTTCATTGCTGTCTGTTTCTCCTATCTTTCTCTCTCTTTAAAATTGGGAACACTGAGTGCTGGCACTGAAAAAGAGGGCTTTTTATTTCACATAGAATGTTCCTTTAACAGGCTCTATATGTGCTTTACAACTGTCACCATAGCACCATCAAACCCCCATTACCTGCCAAATACATGATCGCCCATCCACTTTCTTTTAATGACCTAAACACCCTCTTTAGATATTATCAAAGCAGGGGTGAAAATGTTACACACATTTATAAAACAACTCCTGTTACATTTCAGCCAATACATTCAATATAAATTAAAGGGCTACGGTAATGAGCATATTATTTTGATCCTATTCATTTCAGTTGGCAGTCAGCCAGCGCAGATAAAGACTTTTACTGTCCCTCCGTGTTTTATGGCCACCCAATTGCAGACGTCATGATGTTCTTACAGTATGCATGCTTTTTCTTCCTGTGTGCTCCAATTATCTCCCAGTCCAAAGGATTTAAGGAAGTGTAATAGAAATACTTTCGAAATCAACCTTCATCAAAGCACTGGCCACAGAGATATAGTTAAACTATTAGACCTTATCTCAGGTTTACATGCTTCCTAGCTAGGAAGTAAAGTAGTGAACCAATCAAACATACCTAAGGATGTTTTGCTATAACTTTAAACATTGTATCATTAGTCTTGAGTATTTAAAGTTGAGGGAAAAAACTAGATTTCCAAGATTCAAGATTAAGAAACAGTAACATGTTTGTAATAGTGGCTCCAGATGTCAGTTGTTCATTTAGTGATATACTAAACATGTTTAAAAAATGGTGGCACATTATGGGAGCTAAAGACCCCTTAAACTCTGCTCCACTTTAAGGTCAATCTTGCTACCTTTCCTTCCCCCCAGTGCAGTGAGATCGTGGAATGGAAATCTTTGTGAGTAATCCTAGATTTGTATAGCACAGGAAGAGCCCTTTAACATTGTCACCCTGTTGAATTAGGATGTGACTGCTCTCTGATTTAGCCAGGCCTCTCCTGATTGGACGAGCATGTGGATACACATTTCAGTGTGGTGTAGTCAGAGCATTAGGGCAATCCTTTCACTTCATGTTTGCTCAAAGAAATTGTGTGTAACCTTCGGTTGTATCAACAATGTGAAAATAGTTGGACTCTTTAAAAGTTTGGTTAATTGTACATTTTCATTACTCAATGAGTTAATCCACTCATAATAACATAAGCTTTATGATGGTGGTTTGAAACACAAGTCCAATCCGTGTAGGCTGACGTGGTTATCAAATGCATTTTTTTAAATGAACACACCAAGAATTGTATGTACCTAGAAGCATGTCTGCTTCTGAGTACTGTTCGATTCTTGGTATCACCGAACTTCACTGTTTTCAACACATTCTTTTCCACATTTCTTTCAGGTAACAGGCAAATAAAACTTCTGCTTCTAAGTAAAGCTACATTTTATTTTCTCCAGCACTGTTTCATAAGGGCTTTTCCATGAGGACTAAACAATACTGAATTATACTCAATCACCGAAGGAGCACTGATGTAATAAATCTTCCTAACAATGTTCAACTCTGTGTTATTGCTATACTTGTTCTACATCCTAATGTGAATGGCATTTAAGCTGAAGCAATAAAGGAAGAGCCTGACAGTCTGTCGGTTCATTTCTCTGTTAATCTGCTTGAATTAGGCATCGTAGCCAAAGGTTGTTAAATTGCTTCTGTAAGAGAAATAGTCAGCTGTAAATTATTTTACAGGAAGGAAAATTCCCACACATCTACACAGTACACACACAGGAAAACAACCATTTATACCATTTAAGCACTTGGGAATACATGCTTGATTAAATGTGAAAACAACTCATTGCAGATGTACGTAAATGTAAATGTGTTCCTGTGCGTGTGGATCCGTCTCTCTATTCATTTAACCACACTTTTGCATACCCACGTTGGGCAAAACTTGTAACTGAACACACGCATACACCCATTTCACAAACGTACTTAACATTCCATTTGCACACATATTTACAGTCAGCACATTAACACTAAATGGATCCTTCCACATTTCTTCCATGCAGACTTTGTTCACAACCTCCCATCACGATTGACTCATTCAACTCTACACCCAGTCATTTTTCACCAGGCACTCACATGCGATGCATATGTTACTTTAGTTGGATATCCAAATATGAAAGGAGCATATTTACTTTAAAGGATCTTGATACTGTTATGCAGTATCATATAATGGAATCAAGATGAAAGAGAGAGAATACAATTAATTAATAGATATGTATGTAAAACTAACTAAGTCCAGCTTGTGTGGCCTTAATGTTTGGACACTCTTTAAAACAATGTGGATAATTAAGGTCAACCATAACTGGGGTAGACTGTAAAAGTCAAAATGATTGAGCTCTTACAGCTTTGTTGTGAGGTTTCTTGGCCCAGCATTCCTCTTGAGTACATGCTGTTATTCAATGGCAGAGGATGAAAACAGCTGAGGTTTGGATAATGCAGTGGCTTCCCATTTTGGTCTCATATCTCACTTACAGTACGTACAGGAAGTCTCTCTCGTCAAAAAAGGTCAGATATAACAGATTGTCATTTTGAAATGTTTTGGAACAATTCTAGTTGCCACTTCTGTTTCCAGGGACAGTAAACTATCAAATCCCTAATCCTAAATGTTATGTTCTGTTCACAATATTCTCATCATTGTTGATCGGGAATTGTTGTGACACATTGCTGTGTGTGTCACAGCTTTCAGCAGTAACATGGAGGGCCTTGTTTCAATTATTGTGAATGTAATGGTTGTTCATTTGTTATACCAGGTTCTCACAGTGTCCATTTCTTGCAGATTTGTTATGTTCTCCCTACGTTTGGATTTCCTCAGTGTTCTCCAGTTATCCCAAAAAGCATTGGAAAAGTTGTATTTTGATGTTAACAACAGCTTTATAATTGACTTCTGTTAATCACTAAGTCCTGCATTTACCAAGCCATTATTTATATTAGCTAACTTTAGAGAAAACTGCCTTAGCAGTATTCTGTCTCCAATGATGTGCCTTACTTTATTTTTTCCATTGCATTTGTTTGATTACATGGCATTACGTAACTATAATGTGTGTTTGGTATAAGAATCACATATACAAAATGTCAACCTTTCATTGAATATAACCACTTTCTTAGAATCACGATTACACAGAAACTCATAAAGATGATACTTCCACAGAGGTTGTAACTCCAGCTGTGGAAGATCCCTTTTCTCCTCTCTGTTGTCAATCTGTTTTGTGTTAAGGCTGATTGTGCAGTTGTTGGATATCACATGTCTGAGTTGCATGAATTGACCTTACAAATGCTATCAGCAGTTATTGAGCTGCTGGATAGCCTGTGAGGCTTACTGAAAAACAGTAAACCAAGCCTGATCAGGCGTTATTAGCTACACTGATTGGAAACTTGATGGAGTATGTGCTGAATTGCTATAGTCCTTTTTTGTCAGGTAAACATTTCAATAATCTGTCTGGGACATCAATCTGTTAATGCGCAAAATAACATTTGTGTCAAAGCACTCATGCATATAGCCGACTTTGCCTACACGTCTGACTCTCATTTGATCACGTCTTCTTTTCCAGTCGGACTCTACAGTAACTATTACGTGTGCAAATGGGAAGTGGAACAAACAGGTCTCATGCGAGCCTGTGGACTGTGGTATGCCAGACAAATACCATGTCCATCCTGCCCATTTCAAGTTCCCTGAAGGCACCACCTATGGCAAGAAGATCACCTTTCAGTGTCGAGAACCTGCCCAGCTCGTAGGTGAGATGCAAAGTGGAGCAAGCTCATGCAGAGAAAGGACATTTATGTTCAGGTTGATACCTTTGGAGTCCATGATATTAGATTGAAAGGTTAACAGATGATTCTTTTCTGATAACTTTTACATTTCAATGTTAATACCCTATCACCCTGATAAGTTCTATATCATGAATAAATGGTCTTTGATGCACATTTATTTTTACATCTTTATGAACAATTTTGCCATGAGCTATATCAAAGATTTTTCAATACCAAACGTAACACTTTCTTAACTGAATGTCAGGGTTACACGTTTTTTTCTAATGATCGTATTCACTTTCATTTCAGTCTCTTAATTGTCCATCAGCTTAATTTTTTCTTCATCCTACTTTGATTCCAATTTATTAACCAATTCCATTTTTTTCTCCAATTTCCTCTACCCCTTTCTCCTCAGGTACAAACAACACCCTTACCTGCCTGGAGGACGGTCTCTGGTCCTTCCCAGAGGCTCTTTGTGAGCTCCGCTGCCCAGCCCCCCCTCCTGTACCCAACGCTGTGCTGCAGACCAAGCGCTGCAATGAGACAGGCCTCAAAGTGGGATCGCTCTGCAAGTACAAGTGCAAGCCAGGCTACCATGTCACCAACAAACCTAAGAGGTAAATAACATTTTATTTTTTGTTTTAAAGGTCACCTATTATCCAAAATCCAATTTGTCATGTCTTTTCATGTGTCCCCTCTGCGTTAAGAGATTCTTAAAGTTTCAGGAAAAAAGATTTGCTCTCATTTTGTCCTGATCCATTTATATAAAAATCTAAGTCTAAAAATCAGCTAATCAGATTTTCGCCACTTTATGATGTCATAACGGGATTTTGGCTTGTGTTACCATTAGCCAATAACCAACCAAGGTAACACCCCCCCACCTTATCACCTGAATCTCCTCCTATAGAGCAGGGGTTCCCGAGTGGGGGTTGCGAGATCATTACAAAATTTTAAAAAAAAATAAATAAATAAAAACATTTTTTATCTATTTTTTAAATTATAATTAATAATAACGTGTGCATAGACATTTTTCATGGGCGGACTGGCCACCTGTATAATTCCTGCGCAGCGAGGCTCCCCCCGTTGATAATCCACGAGCGCAACTTTTTCATACCAAAGACCACTTAACCAATAAAAAAACACTCACGGACCACGTAACTCCACAAATATCTAAAAACAATAGGCCTGCTTACCACTCCAACAGTACATAACAGCATAATAATGACAGCTTAACCTTCTCTATATCGCCTCGTTCACACAATAAATCAACAATACAAATACAACTACAGATTATATAAATATTTAATTCAAATGCGATTTAAAATGCTCACAGGTTTTACACCTCTTATTAAATGTAGACTACATGTATTAAGGAGTTTATGTCCGAGCCAACAGACTCACAGATCGTTGGCTACTGAGATAGATGCAAAATACACCGCATGTAGTACGACACAAACCTCCGCTGTGGATTTTCAAAACAAACAAGAAAATGCATTTCCTGCAGAAAATGCGTGCGAATGCTGTAAACAGTGAACATTTATGGCTGAATTTAGCTGAAAATGCAGAAAAAGCTGAATATGTTATTAGCTGAATGGTAGCTGCTTTTAGCTAAACAAATGCAGAAAAAGCTTAATATTTAAAAGAAAAGGTTTAAAAAAGGTATAAACAACAACATATATAGCCTTTATGTCCTGAAATAGCTGAATAATGTAATAGTTGAATGGTTTCTGCAGCTGAAAATAGGCTGAAGGAGTTAAATATCAGATGTAAGTAGTAGTGAATGAATTCGTATTAAGAAGAGAAAATAAAGTAAAAAGGCTTGGGAAAGCAGCAGAATATTTTGACTGCAAACTTGTCGACTAAAACCATACGTCACCAATAATGTATAAAATATGTGGAACCTGTTGAAGTCTGTATGAAGTCTCCATCAGACAGAAAATAATAGGCTGAGACAGTCTGTTAAAGTCCAGTCTGTCAGTGTTTGTTTCTGTTCCTGAGCACCTACTCAGAACACCTGTGTGTGTGTCCGGAGATCAAAGACAACCAACTGCAGAACTGCGTCCCATAAGAATGCATTGAGGATTATATCTGACCATTTTGCCACCCGTTCAAAAACTATGGAGAGAGAGAGAGAGATAGAGAGTGAGAGAGCAATTGTGTGTGTTTGAGAGTGTGTGTGTGTGTGTGTGTGTGTGTGTGTGTGTGTGTGTGTGTGTGAGAGAGAGAGAGAGAGAGTGTGCCTGTGTGTGAGAGAGAGTGTGTGTGTGTGTGTCTGTGTGAGAGAGAGAGAGAGAGTGTGTGTGTGTGTGTGTGTGTGTGTGTGTGTGTGATGTGTGTGTGTGTGTGTGTGTGATGTGAGAGAGAGACAGTGTGTGTGTGTGTGTGTGTGTGTGTGTGTGTGTGTGTGTGTGTGTGTGTGTGTGTGTGTGTCTGTGATGTGAGAGAGAGACAGTGTGTGTCTGTGTGTGAGAGAGAGAGAGTGTGTGTGTGTGTGTGTGTGTTAGAGAGAGCGTGTGTGTGTGTGTGTTTGTGTGTGTGAGAGAGAGTATGTGTGTGTGTGTGTGTGAGAGAGAGTATGTGGGTGTGTGTGTGTCTGTGATGTGAGAGAGTGTGTGTGTGTGTGTGTGTGTGTGTATGTGTTAGAGAGAGAGAGAGAGAGAGTGTGTGTGTGAGAGAGAGAGTGTGTGTGTGTGTGTGAGAGAGAGAGAGTGTATGTCTGTCTCTGTGTGTGTGTGTGTGTGTGTGTGTGTGTGTGTGTGTGTGTGTGTTAATTGTTACAGCTCAAATGCATTGCAATAACTTCCATGTTAAAAAAATACTTTAAAAAGCTGAATATTTTAAAAAGTATAACATATCATCATATATCACCATCATGTGCTGAAAAGGCTGAATAGTTTGATATTTGAATGGTTCCTGCAGCTGAAATTAGGCTGAAGGAGTTAAATAAAGATATTAAATGTAAGCAGTAGTGATTGAATGTTTACAAACACCTGTGTGTGTAAACCATAGACTGTATATATAAAGGTGTAAACCCAGAGATCAAAGGTTTCCATGTTGTCTGCTATGATTGGATGATGTGACTCACGTGTGTGTGGCTCCAATCTGCCCAGCAACACCATGACAACCAACTGCAGCACTGAGTCCCATAAGAATGCATTGGGGATTATATCTGACAATTTTGCCACCCGTTCAAAAACTATGGCTCTTATAAAAAAAATGACCAGACCGTGAGCATCAGGGAACCCCAATGAACTGAAATATGTTTTTTTTTTGGGTTTTGTGTGTAAAATGTGGAGATGGGAGCAGTTTGTCTAAAGTGTACTTCTCTCTGCTCTGAAGAAAGATCTGGAACAATTGGATGTATTTATTAGATAATAATCTCTCTCTCACTCCTAAAACATCTAAATCTACTTTCAGCATGGATAAATGTTCATAAAATGCATCCATTGTTTGTTCTATACGCTTCTTGAAATCCTAAAAAAACACATCGTTATTCTAGAACAGATTACAAATCGCCAGAAAATGGTACAAACAAGTGGCAACATGTGTGACGAAGGTGTTGCGCTGGGCTATATCACGCAATCGAAAGTGAAATTTAAGCTTGCTCCATTGCGGAGATATTCGAGTAGCATGAAGCTGCAGCGTCGGAGACAGCAGTTACAGGACTGCACTTGTAGAACCGCACACACAGGTCCGACGGAGCACGTCACGGCGGCACGTGACGGAGCACGTTCACATGAACGCCTGAAGCCCCTCAATGCAGTGCGCAATCTAACCCTTCCCTTACCCCCATCCTAACCCTAACCACTCCCTACCTTTTTACCTAATCCTAATCTTCCTTCCTCCCTCCCAAACCTCAATGTTTCAATGTTGATATGACGTAATTTAAATTAAATACAGGGTTTTAATTTAAAGCAGTTTTATTCTGAAAAACCCGGAAGTTCACACTAACTATTAACTTAACACTTTTATTCTGAAGATTCTTCATTTCCGGTTAGCATTAGCATGTTGCTAACGTTTTGAAAACCGTGAATTGAAGGTGAAATTACATGTGATGTTGTACACTAAACACACTGGGATTAACACTCATTTATTGACGCTGGAATAACATTTGATCAGAATTATTTATATATATATTAATAATATAAGATATAATATGTTACTTTATATACAGTCTATGGTAAGTACACAACACAATACGCAAAACAATTAGTGTCGTGGGAGAGCGGAACTAGAACTTTTTTTCGGGAACCTCTTCACCCCTTTTTGCTCGCTTTCGCATTATTAGCATTAGCATTAGCCCAGTGCATCAACGGAGAGAGACTAATTTATGGCAACACAAAATAAAAAGTGGGAGCGGTGGAGTGATGAGGAGGTCGGCGCTTCTGGTGGCAGTATACGCCGTGAAGTTGTTTGCGGCCTGCCAGTAAACCCAAAGCAGAAGAAGAAGAAGTGACGTCAGCGGCTTCATTTGCGTAATCCTCCCTCAGGGATTTATTCGATCTACTAGATAGTTCAGGAATTAAAGAGTTCCAGGGAATTAAGTTCCGGGAACTATTCCTGGGAAAAGTACTTGGTTTGAAAGCGCCTATTGTGTTCTTTTCAACCAAATATCTCTCAGAGGGGTGTTGGGAGTGGCTCCTTATTTTCATCTAAAGTAACATACACAGAATCAGCACTTTTGGAACAGGGCTGAAACAGATGGGATTATGGGATGCTACAATGATCTGTTTGGTATTTCAAGCCAAACACTTCAGAGACATTTTCTCTGCATATCTGAGACCTGTAATATATTGATGAAAAACAGTATAATAGGGGACCTTTAAGACATTTTCTGAACCTATATATAAAAACCTCAATAACACCAAACCCACAATTTTAAATGTTAATCACTTCTTTACAGGCGTGCGTTTAAGAGGCAGTGCACAGAGGATGGCAGCTGGCTAGAGGGGGCATGCGAGCCGGTGACTTGTGATCCCCCACCTCCCATCTTCCATGGCTCCTATCACTGTACTGATGGTTTCCGCTTTGACAGCGTTTGCAAACTCAACTGCTCTGATCCAGCCGGTAATGCTGCTATCGCCGCCACAGGAGGCTCTGCCCATACGGTGAGGCTGCTGCACGCTCCATGCAAGCAGGTCTGTCCATCTCTTTCCTCTCGTTCTATTCTTGCTTTACCGATTTGTATGTCTTCTTTTTGTCATGTGTATAAAAAGTAGACATTCTCTCTTTTTCCTCCCGTCTTTGCATCCTTACAGAGGATTATTATTAGTGGCATAATGGTTTAGAAATATATAATCGTAATACAATTTCTAATACCAACAATGCATAATACAGTCATGGTAGCTGATAATAAGATGCAGAATTATTGAGAAGATATTTTCTTCTCAAATGCATTCACTGTCCTCACGGTCTTTTATCTGATACTTCTTACACTGCCCTCAATTACTAAACGCTCTTCTCTGCCTGCCTGATTTCTCCCTGTCTCCCTTAACCCTACTAAATTTGACGCCATGCTAATTAGATTGCTATTGATTTGCAGAATAGTCTTGATACCACAGACATTTTGAAATGTATACACCTTTTAATCTGTTCTGCCTCTAAGGCGTTGTGAGTTGGATGCATGATAAAAATTGGATTACATTTCCCCCTTTGCAACGGGATGCCATCTCAATGTCCTTGGGCTGCTTGTGTTTGCGTGTCATTGTGAGTGTAAAATTGTTTGCCTGTCAATATATGTGTTGTTTTCAGAGTGCTGCGTTCAACGTGATCCGCTGTAGGAAGGATGGAAACTGGACAGGGTCATTCCGCCTATGCCCACACAGCAAAGGCCAGTGTACTTTACCTCAAAACCTCCATCACAGCCTACAGTACTCCTGCAAGCGAGGACACGGCATAGGTCAGTATGCACACATACTGTTGTATCATAAGGATTCAGTCTTTTGTACTGCTGATGTCATCTTTCATTGTTGTTTTATTAATTTACAAATGATAGTCAACAACATTTTAAACCATTCTAATGTGACCAAGCACTTTGAATATCATACAATATCATAAACATTGGAAACGTATTATTTAGTATACCTTTGATCTTGTGGTGTTTTGTTAATACTTGTATTGTTTTTTGAGTGTCTGTCTAACTCTTGCTCACACACACACACAGGTGAAGAGTGTGAGCTGACGTGCAGAGAGAGTAGCGCCGATGTGGTGATCCTCCCTAGCAACATGACGGTAGAGAGTGTACTTAAAGAGCACTGGAGGAACCCGCACAAAGTCAAGGTAAGTTCGTACGATAGTTTATGTCCACTTCACAGCTCTGACAGACGCACTTCACAAAGTTCTGCGATCCACAACTCTCATGTAAAGAATTTCATGTATAGTGTCTACATCCTGGGTCTATTAACCACAATACAAAATGCCAGCATGGCAACCCTGCAAACATTTGTGATATATTTGTAATCTTTTATGTGGAAACAGGCTGTCGCACTCAATGTGAAATTTCAACTACCTCCTTAATTCCCAAAGATGCTTTGCAGCTTTTTTAGGTATTGTACTGTAAGTAAATTCAAGTTTTCACAATACAGAACTGACTCTACTAACACCACCACTGTGAAGAATTTGCAAAACCGTTTCCAGTCCCTGTCATCTTAAATAATTCCAATTTTCAGAAATGAACCTACGGCGCTCACTGGTTAATTACCTTGATTTAGATATACCTTACAGCTACAGACTGTTACTGATTATGACTATTTGCTTAAACTGACATGTAGCAAAATACAGGAGTTAGGGGTTATTTTGGGCCCCCGGGCCGTATACGGCCCGCGAGACCATTTGATACGGCCCTCGAGGTAATTTATAAACACACGCAAAAAAGAAAAATATTTAAGAAATCTAGACCGCAAAATAATTAAACAAGTGAGTGCCTGTTTATCCTGGCCACGGTCAGGATCCTTGAACACAACACGAGCCTAACGTGTCAACACGTGGTATATGTCTCGTCTGATAGGGGTGCAGTTCTGCCGGAGAGCACCAGAACGCGGCTCCGGCACTTCAAAAATTGCAGAACCCATATAGGAGCCGTACACATGCAGTTCTCATTCATAACACTCCGTTCGATGTCTCACTATGGGATGCGCCTCAACGCGTATGCAAACAGAAGCATCAATCTCATTACGCCAATCTTGATTGGCTGGTGATCTTGACGTCAACGTCAGGGAATCCACCCACCCTTTAAGTAGCTTGCGCTACGACGCAGCGTCATTCAAACACCTCTTCTCGATTCAGAGCACATCTCGAATATCAGTAACCGGGCTAGCTTAACGGTCCACAGACTGAACCCAAAGCTAACATTTGGTCGACGGGCGCTTGCCGGTTACTTTTTTGCTTTGCAAGAAGACTGAGCAATATTAACACACCAGTTAATATTGTAATCTGCCTCGCCGTTTCTTTCTGTCGAAATAACGGTAAGGTTTGATTTTTTCTTCAAGCTAGTAACATACCTGTTGCTAGTTTTTTCTTCCCTCCACACCGACACCACGGTAAAGAGGACGTTCTCTTTTCTCTCTCACACCAGAGGAGACAGAGATAAAAAAAGGTATTAACACACCAGTTAATATTCTTTAAAGAATAAAATCTACACCGTCGCCTTTTTTCCTTTCGGACTAACGGCAAGGTTGGATTTTTTTCTCAGTAACGTACCTGTTACTAGCGTGTCCACTCCACGCCGACACCCCGGTGATCGAAGATGGACCCTTCTCTCCCTCACACCAGAGGAGTCAGGGACTCGGAGGCTATGCGGCTGCGGGTTTAAGATTTCAGGCACAGACTCACACCAGGTCTGCTCGTCCTGCCTCGGGCTGGAACACGCCCGGGAGGCTATCGATAACCCCGGCTCGTGCGGGCATTGTACCCGCTTCACCATTAAGAGCCTCTGCCAACGGTTAGCACGCCAAGCTAGCTTGTCGGGACAGGACCCCCTCATGTCCGCTGATTCGCCGGCCGGCAATCAAGACATGGTGGCGTCCGCCGCAGAGATTGAGCCCCGTGCTGTGTCAGACTGGGGCTCAACAACAGCGACAGCCGCTGAACAGGAGCCCCACGCCGTTTCAGGCTGGGACCCAGTGGCGGCAAGAGCCGCGAGAGCGGAGCCCCGTGCTGTGTCAAGCTGGGGCTCCCAATTGGACCTCACCATGGTTCCACCCGCGGAGGATGTCCTGGAGTTGGACTATATGGAGGACGAAGAGGATAACTCTGAGTTCCTCCTGTCTGACTCGGATGAGGATGACATCTTCGTTTCATCGGCTCAGGCTGCAAAGCCGGGAGCGATGTCCTCTCCCCCGGGCGAGAGCACACCAGCTTCGCCCGTCCTAAGCATGGACTTGCAGGCCGTGTGTCAACGCGCTGCTTCCAGGCTGGACATCCCATGGCCTGAAGTTGCCAAGGAGACCTCCAGATCTCGCTGCGAGGGGAAGAACTTGCCCCAAGCAGCGAGGACGAAGAGGAAGCTCCTTCCTGTCTTTCCGGAGATGCTGGACGAGGTGTCGGTCTCGTGGAGAGACCGTCCCTTTAGCAACAAGTCCCCAATCCAGGGTGCCTCCTCCCTGGACTGTGACGGTATGGAGAGGCTCGGCCTGCTCCGCATGCCGCCCATGGAACCGCTGGTGGCAGCCCACCTCCAAACCGAGGGCTGGCTTCGACACCGAGCAGGAACCCCATGCTACCGGCAAAGGCAGACCGGTTCCAGTCAGGGATGACCGAATGGCCTATAAAGCCGCAGCTTTGTCCGCCAGGGCACTCAACGTCTCCTCGCTGCTGACCGCCTACCAGGCGGAGCTCTGCGAAGACATGTCGAGCAAACCTGAGCCTGCCGTGTGGGACGAGATCGCAGCGATCACGGACATTTGCCTCCGTGTGCAGCGCTGTGCAGTCCAAGCCACGGGCAAAGCACTGGGAATGATGGTGGTACAGGAGAGAGCCAGGTGGCTCAACCTGACGAACCTTCCAGACCGGGAAAAAGAGGATGTTCTGGACATGCCTATTGTTCCCGAGGGCATATTTGGCTCCGCTCTAGCTTCAATGCAGCTGAGGTGCGAGGCTCTGTCTCCCCCGAAGGGTCCAGCCGCCACCTCCAATGGTCCCGCGGCAGGCCTTCACTCAAGCTGTCTCACGTCCTGCCCGGTTCAAAATACCGAAGCAGCAGAGACCGCAGCCCGTCCCGGGTCCCCAGCCCAGGCACGAGGCAAGAGGGAGCTGGCCAAGAAAATCTCCGGTTCCGGCAGCTGCCGCTCAGGCGCAGCCGACCGAGGTTTTCAGCCACCAGGCGAGGAAGAAGAAGCGGGCGGCCTGACAGCCTCCTCTCCTCTCCTCGATGAAGGAGCTGGAAGTTCCCTGTTCCCCAGCTCCATAGCACGTTCCAGTGTTGGATGCTCATGTGTTTTCGGGGTGCCACCATGCCCCCATCTTCCGCCGCCTCGAGTGATGCCAGAACGTCATCCTCATGTTCGCGCCATCAGGGAAATGGACTTAACATCGAAGACAGCAAGTTCCGCTGCCTGTTTAAGTCACACAAACACATGTCATCATTGTTGTTTCAAAATAAATCATTTTCCACTGTCGTTTCCAGGCTTGAAGCCAAGGGCGCAGTCAATAAAAATGAAAAGAAAAACAATAAAAACAATAAACAGTCTGTCGTCTGCCCCTCTTTTGAGAGCGGCTACGGCCTCTCTCAAAAGGCGGACAATAGACGGGATTGTGAAGGCACCACCGCTACGCGCATGCGCAGTGTCGGCCGGGGTTGTCAACCTGGGGTACCACCGTGTTCAGACACTAGAGGGCCCCATAACACAACAAATAGACACACTGAGGGCAGACGACAGAGCTGTGACATCTCCACTCGCTTTGAGAAGCGAAAAGTGGAGGATGCTCACAGATTCTGCTTGGGTTTTCAAGACAGTAACACGGGGCTACAGGCTCCAATTCGCTGTCACCCCCCCTCACTTCTCGGGCATTCTGTATTCACAGACCCGGGGAGAGTCGGCCCATATTCTAGAGCAAGAGATTTTCTCGCTACTAGAAAATAAGGCTATATCGATAATACCCGCCGAACAGAGTCAGAGCGGCTTTTATTCAAAGTATTTCCTCGTTCCCAAACGGGGAGGGAACGGAATTCGGCCTATACTAGATTTGAAAGCTCTGAACAAATATCTCAAAAGATACAAATTCAGAATGCTCACTCACACATCTCTGTTGCGTCTCGTGCCCCAAAACGACTGGTTCACATCAGTCGACCTGAAAGATGCGTATTTCCACATCCCAGTATATTACCCACACAGGAAATATCTGAGGTTCGCCTTTCAGGGTGTCTGTTACGAGTACAGAGTACTTCCCTTCGGTATGTCTCTCAGCCCGCGAGTTATTGTACGGTGTACGGAAGCCGCGATAGCCCCGTTAAGACAACAGGGTATTCGCCTGGCAACTTATCTGGATGATTGGCTCCTTCTCGCACAGTCGGAGCAAGAGGCTATTACGCAGACGAATGTCCTCGTAAAACACCTTCTCGACCTGGGTTTCGTAATAAACACAGAAAAGAGCATGTTGTCTCCAGCCCAGACTGTACTCTTCCTGGGCCTACGCCTGAATTCGGTGTCCTTTACAGCCCGCTTGTCAGCAGAGAGAGTGAAAGCCTTCAGGGCTTGCCTCGCTCATTTCCAGCCACGCAAATATGTTCTCTTCAGGTCATGTCTGCGGTTGTTGGGGCTCATGGCGGAGAGTGATGGTCACTATGAAATGCATAATGGCTCTGCGCCACTCTGAGTTTTCTATTACGGGGCGTGCCTATGGGTGCTGTCCTATCGCGGAAGGTGGTCACCACAGACGCATGTCTGACGGGCTGGGGGGGTATATACGAAGGTCGACCTGTGAGGGGTCTCTGGAGCAGAGACCTCCAACGGTCACACATATATTATCTGGAGCTGGGGGTTACGTAAGTAACCTATAGTTCTCATTCATAACACTCCGTTCGATGTCTCACTATGGGATATTGAAACTCCTGTATTGCTAGACATGCTTATCTCGAAAATCACCAAAACAACCAGAACTTAACAGGTAGAACCCTATCTCAACACGGGGCCCAGCACTGCGCGGGCCACACTTGGAGCGGTGAGGACCAGCTCGCTGCTGCACAAATGTCTTGGATGGAAACACCCTTGAACAAAGCACAGGATGTAGCCAGTCCACGAGTAGAATGAGCACGCAGGCCCGTTGGTGCCTGCAAACCCTGA